CTGGCATTTAGCTGCAGGATACATGAAAAGGGGGGGCAAAAAGTGGATTTCGAGGTGGTGTCATCACCAGGGAGAACGATCGTCCCTATAGCGTCGCAAAGAAATGACTACATCAACTGATGCAAATACCTACCCCCGAAAGTACATCTAATGGTGGGTCCATGATAATTCAAATGTTCCGTACTCCGACGACGTCCTTATGATATGACCCAAAATCTACGATACCGTATATTTCCTCATGTAACGTTACGCTCGTAATTTCTACCAATCATATCTAACAATAAAAAAGTAAATGAATATTATTACTCTGGCGACATCCCCATACAAAATTTGCTGTAACCCCTGTCGGATATTTCCGGGGTTCTCTGTAACGTACCGGTAACCAATTTTAAAGCTCAAAATTTCCATACATAAATCCATATAAAACCATCATTCTTAGACATTCATTCACATGTCACTCAAAATGGGAACTGGAAGGTGGGACCTGACCAACGACGAGCACAAAGCCATCCTTCATGAAACGCTGCTTAAGAGCAGCGGCAGCTACTGCACATGATTACGCAAGGATTTTGGCGAGTACTTGGCCAACAAGCACTCGTATCACGTCGTGACGATTCGGAAAGTGCTTGCCCGAGCGAAGGCCCAAGGCGTTGGACACAGCAACATGGTCGTGTCCGTGGCCAACTTGAAAAAGGACAAGGTGGGCAGGAAAAGCGCATACACGGCAGCTGAGGTTAAAGCTAAGCTGTTGGAAATACCCTTGGCGAATCGTACGACACTACGTGCTCTGTCTGCACAGACCAGTAGGAGTATTTCGTGCGTGCAATATACTTACGTACAAACTAGGAATAAGTCGTGGATCACTCCATCGATATCTCAAACTGGGGATGTTTCGTGCGCATTCTAATGCGATTTGTCCTCTTTTGACGGAGGCGAACAAGTACGCTCGACTAAAGTTTGCTTTGGGCTTCGTCAAGCACGATGTGGAAATACAAGAGCTGCTAAACTACGTCCATATTGACGAGAAGTGGTTCTATCTTACTAAGACTAACCGTAAGTACTACCTTATCCCTGGCGAGACCGCGCTGGATAGAAAGTGCAAGAGCAAGCGTTTCGTAACTAAGGTTATGTTTCTGGCCGCTGTGGCCCGACCACATTTCGTTGGAGACACTGGGACCTGGTGGGATGGGAAGATCGGTACGTGGCCGTTCGTCGAAACCGTGCTGGCACAGCGCTCGAGCAACAATCGTTCCGCCGGATCACCTGAAACCAAGCCGATCACGGTGACGAAAGACGTGTACCGGGAGTTTCTACAAGGTCTTGCCTGCCATCGTCGCGAAGTGGCCGACGAACGACCATCACGTCATGATACAGCACGACAACGCCCGAGCCTACGTCACGGAGTCCGACGTCAAGTGGCTTATACGTTGGCGGAACTTGCCAAGCAAGACTGGAGCATCTCACTGGCTCCACAGCCACCGAACTCCCGTGACACGAACATCCTGGATCTAGGATTTTTCGCCGGCATTCAATCCCTACAACACCAGAAGTCAGCACGCTCAATCGACGAGCTTGTGGCCCATGTCGCTGATGCCTTTGTCGAGTACCCATTTGAACATCTTGATCGCACGTTTCTGACACTGCAAAGCTGTCTTATCGAGACGATGAAGGTCAATGGTGACAACACGTACAAGATACCGCACATGGCGAAGGAGAAGAAGCAGCGACTGGGAATCTTACCTCGGAACGTTGTGTGTCCTGTCGACACATTTGATGCCGCACGCGCTGCCTTGGTTGGAACGAGAGTTTGCTGCTGAGCTCGAGGGGGCGGTCGCGGTGAACGAGAATTGACATGGACGTCGTTCCCTTGGTTTGCTCGGTCGTTGCCATCGCTGCAACACTCACGTTGCTTGACGGCCGAATCTTTCCGCGAGAGCCCGAGAATGACTATGTCACAGGTGGATTGTCTGTGTGGCCAGCTATCAAGGCAATTGGTGGCCAAAATGGCTGGTTTGTTCGCTACCTCAGGTGTTCACGCGACGCCTTCTTTGTTATTGCCGGACGTCTACAAGCATCCTGGCCATCATGCCATCTCCCATTGCACCGATCATGCCATTTTGACGTGGATGATAGAACGGTGTTCGCATGGTACTACCTAACCCACAGCGATAGACTGGATTGCGCTGCCCCGGTGCCCGGTGTTTGGCATTGGAAAGACAAAGGCCTACGACCACGTGAACGAAATCATTGTGCTTTTGCAACGTGTGCACCTGGTGTCAACTTTTGTGCTGCCGTCATCTATGGTTGCGTGGCGGGCTGTTGCTGCAGGGCTTGAAGCGGTGGCTGGGTTTCCAATTGTGTACGGAGCCGTTGACGGGTGCCTCGTCATGGTAAAACGATTCAGACAGCACGAGGGCTGGTATTATCGAAAAGGATTCCCGGCGTTCAACTTGATGACGTTGGCGGATGATTAAAAGCGGTTCACGGCCTACTCGCTGCGACCGGGGTACCAGAACGATCATATGTTGTTTCGCAACTCCATCTTTGGGTCGGCAAGGTGCATTCCCTCTGGTGGCTTTATTTTAGCTCATACCGGCTACACGCTCTTGTCCCATGTACTGACCCCGTGCCCATTTGTTCCCAACATGGACAAAGCCGAGGCACACTACAACCTTCTGCACTCTCGTACTCGAATTGTTGTGGAGCTGTGTTTTGGACTTTGGAAAAAGAAATTCCTTTTGTTCAAGAAACCTCTTGAATTCCAGTCACTAGAAAGAATGGCTCAAACAATTGAGGCAACTTTAGTGTTGCACAATTGGATTATTGACCTGCATCCTTCTTCATCTCAACCTGCTTCACGCGATTGGATGCATCTTGGTGGTGATATTGTTCATTCCAGCGAAGAATATTCCATTGATAACGATATTGCAAAAGCCACACGAGACAGTGTAAAACGATACCTTAATGAATTCGTTTGAATCAACAATATATTAGAGCTTTAATTGTTGCGGCGCAGAAAACTAAGTAGATCGCTTTGAATTGAAGTACTTTGCTCAACAGCTACCTCCAATTTATCGATTGCTACTAGAAGTTTACTAGTCTCACGCTCAGGTGCATCGTCACGTGGCTGATGCATACCTTTCAATGCCTTGCGCTAAGCTCTCACCTAAGGCGACAAGGCTTTGCCCAATGTCCGTACGCTTTGGACGTTTTGCTCCTTGCCGCGACAGCTCCGCGTCAATGACAGACTGCCACTTGAACTCCTTGGTTGACGTGGATGCGTCGTCACTGCATTCGCATCCACCGCCGTCCGCTTCGTCGCCTTGACCAGAGGCACCGAATGCATAGTCAATGAGCCCGTCCTTGCTACAAAGAGCTGAGGCAAGCTCGTCCCAATACTGCCGATACACAATGCCAACCGCGTTTCCTGTGGCTCCCTCTGCCAGGTGAATCGTCGAAAACTCACGCTTGAGGCTCGTATACTTGTTTTTGACTGCCACGGCCGGAACGCTTGTGCTGTGCAATAAATTGATGGCGAGTGCAATCTTTCCCCACAGGATTGACAGCTGAGCCGAGCTCCGATGCAGCTCGAAGCTTGCTGCGTAGTCGTCGCAGCGCTTGTCGAGGAGCGTTGTCACCATTTCAGTCGTCCACACGGACTTGGGGGCTTTCACCACTCCGGCGACTGGCTTGACTTTGGCACGACGCTTGGTGGGATTGGGAGGAGCTGCTGGTGGTGGCGCTGAGTCGACGGCAATAACCAGTTCTTCCATCAGTTTCTACTGTCGATGAATGGTCGAAGTGTGGTGCTGAAATCGAAAGTTGTTATTGGTGGGAAATTATCGAATTAGATCACAGAAATTTGCAGCTGAAAGTCGTTGAATTTTCAGCGCTGTTTGAAATTTGATAATTGCCGATGTTAGGAAAGTCGGTCCGAACAGGCCCTTAGAGTAAATGCAAGTAGTTCAATACGACAGTAGCGCGACCTACGCTGGTTTTCCGCACGCCTCTCCACTGTCGATCTAACCATACCGGTAGTCTCGTAGCGGGCAATCACAGACCGGTACTACTGACGATCAGTATCACGCAAAGGCATTAGCGAGATATGAAAGTTCGTTAACGCAAACGTTACACGTTCAATACCATTATAGAACTTTTGACTCCACGTGAATGTTGCATACGACACCTTCCATAGGCTGCACACACGTCCAAAGAAGTTCACTACAATGACGCGATCCGACGACACACGGCGGTTACGTGCGAAATCGTCAGCATCTAGACCGCGAGGTGGGTTCTTCTTGGGATGAATCGCTTGGAGATCTGTCATGGCATTCGCCCTTGTCAACGAGGAATGCCCACTTGTCGCGGTGGGTATGTACTTGCTCGCCGTGGTCGATGATGTTTAGTTCTTGTTCGGTCTTCTTCAGCGCCCCTTGGTGTTGGTTCATGCGGGTGCGCAGAATCGTCAAGTTAGCCACGGCGCCGAGATGTACTGCACTCATGTCCACCAGGTGACCTTGCGGTGACACAGAGGCTTCGAACTTGAGCCCATACAACTTGTGCTTGACACTAAAGTACGGCTTGGCTGCCCCATGGCGACCGGCAGGGCGCTCGGACGACTGAAACTTGACGTCCGTCGCATACAATGCGTAGGGGTAGTTCTCAAACACGGTGTCTTGGGCTCGAAGGTCGAACATGCTTGGCATCTTCATGAACGCTTCAAAGAACACTTGCCCCACAGACTCGATGACCCGCAGATTAAGCTTTTGGAACGTGGGCGGACGATATCCAAAGTCCATGGCGTGCCGTCTCCCACGTCTGGTAGTGCTTGAGCACAGTCAGCGTCATGAACAAGGCGTCGTTGGTGCTTGATTTGGACTTCGATGCACGACCGTCCTGCCATCGGGCCTTGAGCGTGACTTTAACGTACCCCACAGAATGTCGAACTCGCGACGCGTGAAGTTCGTCATGACCCGAACGCCTTCTTCACCGCTGTCGTCCAGGACCTTGCGAGGACGGGACAGGTAGAGTCGCTGACCTCGTCTTGTCGGTCCATGGTGTCGGAGAACTCGTCAAGGCATTGGCCAAGGAAGACTTCGTCGGACAAGGTTTGGCCTTGGAAGCGGGTGATCATGGCGGCTACGTTGAGCACCATGATTGAGCAATGGTGTAAATGTGATAATGGCACTGTATGAGTGATTGTATGAAACAGTGGACAAACTGACTGGTGTAGGTTGGCATGCTTGAGTCCTCAGCATGACTGGTGTAGTCTTGCACGTTTGATATCCTCGCGCGCAAATCGACTTGCCATGGACCAATAAGATTGAGGCACTACTGGAGCTGTTCAAATTTCTCATGATTGGCGGGGCTTATATTTCACCACACCCATCCATCAATCTGGCCCGGCCTGAAGAATATAGGCAGTTACAGTATTTTTCTGTATTTTGGAAACTTATCTAGAAGTTTTTATTGGTTTGAGTATCTGACGATTTGGTTAGTTATTTTGTTGAACACTATATATAGTCGGATACAGATACAGTGGAGGCCATCCAAAAACTACACAACTGCTATTTGTGAACTTTCGCATCTGTGACATTTTCCGTTTAATAATACTCCTTTGCAATATGTTGAGACTATTAATAGAAAACGGTCTCAACAAATAAGTGGTTTGGCGAAGTCGCAGTCGCAGTCGCAGTCGCAAACACATACTCTATAATCTGATAGTATTGGGTTCTAAAAGTACAAGACTAATGGTTGAACCCCGAAACCCCGGTGGTTCAGGATTCGATGTCCAAGGGTTGAGGACAGAGTTGGTGCCCAGCGTCGGTTGACCACCTACTCGACCAAGTTCAAGCAATCTTACCCTTATGTAAGAACGGGTGGGTAAAGGTGCATGACGAGTTCAACTCGGCCCCTACAACATTCCCCCACCGAGGCAGCGATGCGCTTAAGCGCAAGTTTGCCCTACTTCGAAACCACCAAAGCCCACTGGAGAACCCGAATGCCCGGACGACGTCAAGCGTGCAAAACTGCTGGCCCGTGAGATCCACAACAAGGTCGATGTAAGTCCATTGTAGAGCGGTGCAGAGGTTGAGTGAAGGCTCATAACCTGTCAAGAGGAGGGGAAAGAGGTGGATGCCAGAGGCATGTAGAAAAGGGGAAAAAAGGAGAAATGATTTCGAGGAAGGTAACCTCGGGGCCAAACCAAGGACGCTAGGCCAAGCGTCCCGGCCAAAATGAACACCAAGATGAAGACGTGGGCTTACAAAGAAGTAACAAGAAGTGAGCAGCTAGACCAAGAACAGGCATATGCATGCCTGTGATTACAATTACAATTGGTGGAGAAACCACTGGTGCCAGATGCAGGTGGGGCGCAGGACGAGAGACACAGGACCCAAAGGGCTGGTGAGTTGCCACCTCGTGACACAAATGTTGGAAACATTAAAAGTACCACTGTAAAAAGTGTCCGTGCAAAATACAAATACTGCATGGAACTTAAAATCATCGATTGATTAAAGGCTATTAGTACTTGGTTTACTCCGCCTTTGTTGGAAGTAACCATGTCCAATCTCTTTGGCATAGTAGAAATGAGCTTGATGTAATCCTGGCCTTGAGGTCATCGATGGATGTCACCGGCTTTTTACAGAGTTATTTTCCAATATAAGCCCACAGGTGCTCAATAGGGTTCAAGTCAGGGCTTTCGGGAGGATGTGGCAGTTCGAATGACTTCGTATTCGTCGAAAAAGGCGTTGATGATGCGCACCTTGTGGATTGGTGCGTTGTCCTGCTGCCAAGTAAAGTCACCCCCCAGTGCGAGCTTCATGATGTTTAACGGGATTTCGTCCTGAAGCAGTTGAAGGTAACGAGCAGCGTTGACTTTGCCTTCAAGAAATGTCAACCCAACTCCACCCCAGCTCATAGCACCCCACCATGGCAAAATCGCGGCCACTTTTGAAGGTAGCCGCGAGGCAGTTGTTATTGAATTCTTCGCCGGGTTCTCGCCACACGTACACACGTTTGTGTTTATTGTATTAATATTTGACCCTTAATCAGACATTCACAAGCCCTCTCGAGCAGTAAGAACTGCTTCCTAAGAACATGGTAGTAGTCGAGACAAAGTACCCAACCTTCGGAGACGCTATTTGCCAATATGAGGGATTGAATAATCGTTCCCTCCACCCACAGAGCATAATTTACTCCATGCACAACATCCATGAATAAAAAACGTTATCTAAAGTTTCTACCCTAAGTTCACTAAATGCAGCTTCGACATTGCTAATGAGCTCATCAATTGTTCGAGCATTTTTCGTCTGTTAAAGCGATTGAATTGCAGTGCAAAATCCCAAACCTAAAATGTTTAGATCAGAACTTAGTGGTGGCTGGCATTCAACCTCTAATTTCAAGCCACTTCCTTGCCAAAAAGTACCTGACGCTACGTGGGCTAGGGCGTTGTCTTGTTGCAGACGTATGTTCTTGGTGTCGCGTGGCCACTTCGACACAATCGCCGGATTCAACTTGTTCCGTAGGATGTCTTCGTACGCCACTCTGCCAACGTTTACCGCTTTTGTCTCCAGCGTCCCTGCTGCACGCTTTCTTGAAGTGCGCCTTGCTGGAACTTGTGTCACGAACAGCCAAATGCCAAACTTGCCGTCGAACGTTTGGTTTCGTCGAACGTCCTTCCGTGGTCTTGCGACGGCGGCCAAAAACATGACTTGTCCGATGAAGCGCTTGTTTTGGATACGCCTCTCCAAGTAGTCCTCGAATGATGCCAAATAGTATCTACTCGCGTCCTTCTCCAAACGGAACCACTTCTCGTCAACATGAATAGTGTCGTCAATGTCCAGTAATCCAACCCCAGATTCAAACGCAGGGCTTGCTCAACGTTCTTGAGACAAAACGCTATTCGGGCCTTGATATGCTTTGGGGCAAGGCTAGCTTGAGATGCGGTTGCCGGTGAAGGATGATGCCGTCCTTGATGTGACAGTGCAGGGTTGTCTTTGCTACACCCGTGTGGTGTGTGCGACGCTTCCAAAAGTCTGGTGGTTTGAAAGGTGCACGTGAGTGACAGCAGCCACTATGTCGTCGTTTGGGTTGCGTGGACGGCCACTGCTTCCGCGCCGTTTTGCCTGTACTATCGAAAGAAGGTCTCCGCTGGGAGAGTGTTCGAGGTGCCTCTTCCACATCGTGATCACGGCATCTGTTGTTCGATGGCAACGGTACATTGTTGCGAGCTGCGTGAACGTGCCATGGTGCTGGGTGGCCTCAGTCGATGCAGCTTTAAGGTCGAAGAGTATGGCGATTCGTGTCTCGATGGGGATGTCGTCATGTAGTTTGTGTGTCATTGTGAAATGGGACTCCAATACGTAATAGTATTATAGAGTTCTACAAGTCTGGTGCTCCAACCATACAATTTTCAAGCAGTGGTGAGTGGATAACTTTTTTAGGGGAAGGGCGTTAGTTTTTTAATGCATTCATTACTACTGCAATAAAAAAGATATCACACGAAAGCCCCAATCACAAGCTTTTGATTGGTAAAAAGATCTTTGAAATCCAGTTGTTCAGTCAAATTTCGTGACATGACAAAGTTGAAACGAGTCAGCTTTTAGGAACAGAGTAGTAGCTCTCATGTAGTAATGCTGTACATTATTTAACGATTGTTTTATTTTAAGACTCAAGTATACTATACTACGAAGTACCTGTTTTAAATTTGCGTTTCCTTTAAGTACGTTCCATTAGGTGCTGAAACTTCATTTCAAACCAGGTGGAGTTGTATTCACAGTGTCAATTCTGTGTCAATTCCAGGCAAAATAAAGGAGCAGCTTTATTGCCTCATGAGGCACAGCCTCATCCGAATAATATCCAGAACAATCCTTGTCCTACCCTATTTATCTAGGGTGAGTAACAGTGTGTTCATGTTTAGGTGGCAAAAAACAGAAGCCACGTCACAATGGACCGCTGGGTTACATAGAACTGCATGGGAATTACCGGTACCATCGTTTTGTAATTACAACATCCGAGGATACTGTACCTCCGCGATTTAATTCGTGGTACAATGGGTAAGCTGGCGAAATGCTGGATGACTATTGCAAGTACACTTTGAGTTTGGGGGGTGAAGGTTAGCATGGGAACCCATGGGTAGTGAGATCTGTTTGCATATTTAAACTTTAACACATATTTATCACACAACCGTATACTGATCCAGCTTTTCGCTTGGTCAAAAGCTTGGATTCACCATCCCAGTTTCGTACCAGTCATTCCAGCTTTTGCAATCTGGTTTGCAATCCACGGCAGCCATATCTGACGATGAAGATACTACAGTGCCGGAAGCGCAGCCAGGTTGCTATGTTATCTACCTATACTACAGCACACTCAATCAAATGTTTGAAGCGCCGACACCGAGCGCGAAGCCAAACATGCGAAGGGGCAAGTTGCCGTTATCGACCGTCAAACGATCAGTGCGGTGGGACGACTAAAGTGTGGCGGAACTATTTCGCCTGCGCTACGAGTTGCATTTGACGACAAGATTCGACTCGAAGAACAACGCGGAAAAGAAGACCGCGTACGTGATGCTGGCGTCGGAGATCAGCGTGGCGATGGAAAGGGACTTATCTGTGGCGCAGGTCCAAGACAAAATCATACATGAAGCCCTCGAACCCGAGCGAAACAGGGAGCACTCCTTTGGCACCGTTGCCTCCGCATTACGACGTAATGATGGAGTACTGGAGATAAAAAAAGGATTTCCGCGTGAATCGCTGATGTCCACTGATGTGATATTCGACGACGGCAACAATTCCTCGGACGGTAGAAATATTGTTCTAATGTATGTGATATGAATTCGAAACATTGTTGACTTGTGAAAATATTTGTTGGATAGGTATTATATTAAAGCGGACACGGACTACGACTGCGACAAGTCTCCGGAGCGTCGGAATAAGCGAGCAAAACTCTTGAAAGCGAGCACTCATGGCGAGGCGTTGGAAGCTGGGTACTTAGCTACAAAGGAAGATTTGATACACTTGGGAACATATTATTTTTGCTAACTCAAATACTAGCAATTCCATTCGAGTGCTCGACAATCTACAATTGAACTGTTTTTGCACTTTTGTCAACACTCCACCTTCCTCATTCGGCAAATATGGGGTCAACAGCCAAGGGAGTAACGTGTATCCAGAATCACCAAGTAGGAAACATCCAGTAGGCAAAACACGTCGATACCCTGGCCAACTAATGATACTTTCCAAATATTTTTATCGGAAAATGAACCGGGTCGACTATCCACAGACATAAACACCATTCTCGAATCAACAATTGCTTGGACGTTCAGTGACGGATCGTCATTTCGATTGTGAAAACTGTCGTACTCTTTTGGTCGCTGAATATCAATCAGGGTGTCATCAACAACTCCAACAACACCCGGTAACGTTTGTGACTTATAGAAGCCTCGCTCAATACGATACCATGCACAGAGTCAGTGGGGAAATGAATCCACTTGTTAGCATTTAAGGACACCACCCGAACGAATGACGAAACAACACTAATACACCAAGACTTAGCCATGCCAAACGCAGCCGAGGTTTCACAGTAACCACCCTCGGAACCCAAAAAGAATTGAAATAGAGCAACCTTCCTTTCAAATGAGTGCACCGAACGACGCCTAGAGTATTTTGGCATGCGTTGGCGAAGCCACACAACTATCTTACAGAACGCTTGCTGGTCATAGCGAAGGTTGTCACAAAACCATTGATTGTATCAAGCCTTTCATCAAAGTTCACATTCGAAATCGTCAGTACGTTGTAGTTACTAGCCGTCGAGCTAGTGCTCGTAGCCACCGAAATGCACACGGCGCATACAACCAACAGCAACAACACCTTTCAATCGATCCATTGCACTCGCACCATTCAAAAGCTGGAATGCCAAAAGCTGGAATGGTTGGCAGACCAGGTTTGAGGGCACAATCCGAATAAACTTTATCCGTAAAAGCTGGATCAAAACGTTCACAGACCAGGCTCTTATCTCCTTGATCCATTCGCTGGGGCACATTTGTTTGAATGGCCCCATAACACCCACATCCAGGAGTTGAAGCACACTCGTCGTGTTTGCCGGCAGCGGTTGTAGGTATGCATTCAAAACAACTCGTCTTCAAGGATCTTGTAGGATTTCTTCGACACATGGCAGGTAAAGTTGTCCGCAAGCACGACAGAGGGGCAGTCCAATTTGGGTTGCAATACTCCACGAAGGTAGAGCGACCACACACGCTGGTCCATATTGGCCGCCTTTTGCACAACATACACCGGGCCGGGTGGGTACGTTGGAAGCTCGTCAACGTCAATCTCACTCCCCAGAGTTCCTTTGACAAGGATCAACAGCGGCATCTTCGCACCTACACATAGCATTGTTATCATGGTTAACGTTTGTAATCAATACCATCAGCTCGAATTGATAATGCCACAGAGATCTTGTCAGAGTGCTTCTATGTCTCTTGTATGGCCGACTCACATCTACGGCTTGTGAGACGAAACGAAAACAAATGTATTCATGGCTGTCCAACCGCTCCCAC